AGTCTCAGACTGGGATTAAGACCCTTTGCCACATTTCAGGATCGCCCCATCTTCTTCACATAATTACAGAGTCTTTTTCTTTCATTTTTTTTTTTATTTTTTGTGTTATTTTGGCATGCGTAAAGATTCTGAAAACGGGAACTCTTGCGATCAGAGCTGGGGCTTTCTTTTTACCTGGCTGACAGCGACTGACAGACAGCAATTGCCAAATAATAAATAATTAGTCAGGGCGGCCCTGGGGGCGTGGCTAAGTGACATGGCATGCATTTTTTATGGCGTTAAATCAAATATCGGTTGGCTAAAAAATTCACCAGCTAGGGAAAGCGCAGGCGACCCAAATTTTTTGGGATATCACGAATTAATAATTCCAAAGATAAAATGTTAATTAAGTTATCAAAGCTTATGATTTAATTAAAAAAATAATGCAATTTTAAATCTAAGAATACCTTGTATTAAATGTAAAATCTTAAAAACTTTCTACATCGTATTTCTAACAAAGCTTTTTAAGCTTTTTATAAAAAAAACATCTGGTTATCAGCTGTTTTCAGGTGTTTTCGCGGGAGATAGGCTGATACTGATATTAAAAGCCACTTTTTGAACATTTCATTAAATTGAAGCATTCGTCCAGTTCATTTCAGGCCGAGCACACAGTTTCCAAGTTCAAAATGTCAACGATTGTGAGGAAACTAATCAGCACTGCCAATGCGGCTAAGCCAGTAGCTCCCTATAAGTAAATAAGCGAATTAATAATTTTATATTATTATTTTTAAATAATATATTTAATTTTCTCTTAGCCAAGCTGTGGTGGCCGATCGTACTGTGTACGTATCTGGATGTCTGGGCCTGGACAAGGATACCATGAAGCTGGTTCCGGGTGGACCCACGGAGCAGGCGGAGAAAGCTCTGGAAAATCTGGAGGCCATCCTCAAGGCAGCCGATTCTGGAGTCGACCAGGTTATTAAGAACACCGTCTTCCTGAAGGATCTTAACGACTTTGGAGCTGTCAACGAAGTTTACAAAAAGGGTGAGTAAAGTGCAGTAAAAAACTCATAACTATTTCATAATTATAGTAACACCATCAAAATAATAAATGTTATTTTTAACCAATACCTACTGTATACCGGCCTTTGTGGCGTGCCGTTGATAAGGCAATCGGCATCGTTGCACCTTATCGCCCTGTTTATTGTTTACTGTAAACATTTTATGACATTTTTTACGAAAAAAATATGCTTTATGTCGCTTATCTTTACTTTCAGTGTTCAATAAGGACTTCCCGGCTCGTAGCTGTTTCCAAGTGGCCAAATTGCCCATGGATGCCCTGGTGGAGATCGAGTGCATTGCCTTGACCGGATCCGTCAAAACCGAAACTGTCCAATAGCAATCAAAGGCCAGTAAACTGTGAGATAATAAACTGAATTTATACTAGATACTTTATCAATTAAAATTTTGTTTTTATTCTAAAATCTTTTCTAGAATGTTTCCTATAAACAGAAAAGAAGTGGCAGTAATTTTAAATGTAATTAGTAAACCATCTGTGTGTAGTAATTTAGTAAATCGTCTTAGGTTTGTTTGTTTTTTTGGGCCAAAATGAAGCCATAAAAGCCAAGCAACATTTGTTGCATAAACTAGCAACATGCAACATGCAAGGAGCAACACACTTTGCATTTAAACCTTATATAGTTTACAATTTAGCGTGCGGCAATTTATCATTGTTGTTGGTTTGTTGGTACAGTGCTGCCGTGTGCGCCTTTTGTATTATATTTCATCAAATGTTGCTGCATAAATCACAGGTAACAGCAGAGCAGTAACTGCAACAGCAGCATGTTGCTAACGGTAGCCCCGCTTAGACAAAGCGTTTATTTCACATTCAAATTTAAAAGTTATTCATAATGCCAGCCGACGACGAGTTGCTTTTGTTTGTATTGTAATGCTCCATATTGATGGGGCTGCAGCATTACGAGAAGTACGAGGGGGATAGGCTCCTTTTTGGCCTTTTACGGTCGCCCGGGCCGACTCCTCGTGTTTGGTCTAGGCATTTGTTTTGATTTTTATTTAAATTTTCAGTGAATTTGTCTGCACTCGACTGCCTGTCGGATGATTTATTGTCCTTGTTGCCGCGAGTGCCTGGTGTGAATATGAGTGGTTGCGATGGGGCACGATTATGTGGCTATAAGCTAGTGACTATTTCCCCTTTACTACCATTCATTTTTTGTGGCAATACATATTTGCTATTTTTTTTTTTGTATGAGGATCCAGTGCATGTTGCACCCGCGGCGTGCAACATTTATGTTGATGTGGCCGGCGTGTAATTAATTCGCGGCGCATCAGCCGACAGTCGGGCATAAATGGTAATAAATACGCATGAATTGATGACAACAAACGAACACCTACGCAGAAGGCATAACCTGAAGAAGTACAACTAATTAATTTCGACGCACGACAAATGAAGCAGCCGCAAGGGACCCAAGACCCTGCCACAACTTGCAACCATGCAACCGTTGCTGTTGCGGTGAAAGTGCGCATAATTTACACGCAAGTCTGAAGTTGAAGTTATTCGCAAATTAAACTCACAATTTTGTTGTAAATTTTTTACCAATTTGCTTATCAGCCGGGCCACGAAGGCAGTGGGCCAGGGCGCGTCTCGTTGGCCAATTAAGAAAGCCGCATGCGGTAGCCGGCAAGGGGTATCCGTTTACAACCACTTTGTGTTTAATATTATTTTGTTTTTCTTCATTTTTTTTTTATTGGCAGGGTCAGTTGTCATAATTAAAATATTATTTGACCGAAGGGACCTTGCCGCAAGGTAATTAGTTAGCAAATTGAAAGCTTAATTCCTTAAATGATAAAAATATTTATTATTGAAATTCAAAGATTATTATGATTTTTAAAGTTATTTGTTTCTACGTCACATTCGTTTTAAAAAATCAAAAAATTGTCATTATATCAAAAAAGATAGCATTCCCTTACTAAAAACTTAAAATTATTAAATAGTTGAATTAAAATCATGTAGTAATCATTGCGCCATACTTTTAGGAAAGGATACATGATTTGAAAATTGTGTAGCATACCCTTAGGGATATTTTTCGATTTAATTTTAGAAGCAACTCTAAATCAATCTTTTATAAAAATATGTAAAAAATTATCATAAAAAACTAACGATAACCGTTATAGAATCCAAATTAATAAATACGTTCAATTTAAATTCAAAATTGTTAGAAAACTCTCATTTAATAGCCAAATCTACATCACTGTTTGGAAAACATAGCTGTTTCGATGTGGTGGCAGCTCTGGCACAGTGCGCAGATCCGGCATCCCTAGTACGAACTACAATCAATACAATTGCAAAATAGCTATGCTAGTAATTTTAATAAATAGCAACAAATCGATAAAAATAGCAACAAGAGCAATATTTGTGCTTCTGCACCAGTGAATTTATTTTCGGTGAAGCGAAATCTAAAGGATATTTGGATCCAGCGCCGCTTAGAAAGCAAAGGTACAAAAACATACACACGCAGGCACAGACGGTGAGACAGACATTCACGCACGCACTCACACAGGCACACACATTCGGGCAAACGCACACACATTTAACCCCACCAGTCTTTTTTTTTTCCAGAAAGTAAAGACTGTAAAGAAAAAAAAAATTATTAAATTTTAAGGCTTATAGGCCGGTGTTGTAGTGCAGAGTATATTCTTAGGATATATTTTTTTTTTAGGATACGGCATGGCAATAGGTTTCCATTCAATTGCATGCAGTTCTCGCACATACTTGTGTACATAACAATTACATATATTGTCGCCGTGTGAGTATTTTCTTTTTTTTTTCTGTTTTCTGTTTCTTTGGGGAGAGATCTGCAGTGGAATATGCGTATAGTATATAGACGATGGATTCTGCGACAAAGGAAGTGGCGGCGCAGTTCTTGATCGTTGACTCCTCGGATCCACAATTGCGAAATATTTGCGATAAAAAAAGGAAAACCGCCGCCGCCGCCGCTTCCCCAAATAGAAAAACATACATACGTGACATTAGGGGGGGAATCCCTCTAGAAACAGTCAAAAACTTCTCTCAAAAACAAAGACATATGGTTCGAAACTATGATTACATTTTTGTTAAATAAATTAATTTTAAATCACTTCCGTTTTAGGGTTTTTTTTACCCGCTTTTTAAGACTCCCCCCTTAATAGCAGATGTTGTATCGGGTGTGTGTGCTTTGACACCCTAACATTTGAGTGGGAAAGCTTGCAAAAATACTTTCGATACCCATACCAATACCTTGATATCCGTGAAATACAGCAAACTCATCTTTGACTTTCAGAAAAACCATCCAAGACTGAGAACTCCGCCTTTGTGGGTCAACTAGTTAAACACATCCGAGTGGGCGACTCTGTTGTTGTGAGTGGAAAGCCAAGCGATCTGCAGAAGCTGCAGCTCCCTGCTCCGGAGTCCGGACCGCCAATACAGTGGAGGAGCAGTGCCGACGCCTCAGAAGCATGAATCTGCGGGGAAATCCTCCAAAGAAGGAGGGCAAAATGCGCATACGCGCCTTTCCGGTAAGACCTAAACAAAAGGATGTTCGGGGAATCCCCCCTGAGATTTTATAAAAGTTAAGCTCATCAGAAATTGTATAACAAATAATAATATTATCAATATGATTGATTTTTAGGAATTTTTATGAATATTAGATCATAAGCTTTGTATGTTACATGATGTATTGTCCTAAAATTTGGAATTATTCATAATATATGTTTATTTTTACATAAGTACCTTTATTGTATAATCATTACACAACAGTACTAAATAGAATACCCTATGTATTTCCAATTTACCTGCAATAACCTGCAATTCTTTCGACTATAGCATGAATTGGCAAAATTTCCCGATAAGATAATTCCTAGGACTGGCGTACTTTGTCCCCAGGAAAAAAAAAACATTACAAAACACTAGCAGGCGGCTATTTCATCAATATTAGTAAAAATATTTATAAAATATCCCAACAATTCAAATACTTTTGTCAATCGAGAATCTAAAACAACTCCGCGTCTACCGAAAAAATCCGTTTCGTTCATCTGTCAGGCTACAGGAATACGGAAACAACCTAAACCCAGAACACTCTTATAAAACGCTCCATCAAAAAAAAAAAAATAATAAATGAGAAAAATAACAAAAAAACAACAACAAGCCAACTTCAAAACACCGGCCGGGGCAGGGTAAATTCGAGCACATTCTAGTTTTTAAGTTACAACCAATAGAAACGTAGTTTTTTAAGAAATTATTGTTCCCCCCACAACAGACACGAAAAGACCGTGTAGGACCTGTATGAGGAGAGCAGGGTGAAGGGCGAGGAGACGCGAGACAGCGAGCATAGTCCATTGAGGAGGAAGAAGTGCAGCAGTGGATCAGGACCGCGAGTGGCGGATGTATAGCAAAAGCCGTCATCATTAGGCCGTCAAACCGAAGTCGGTCCCGCACGGCACCGGCAGCGGGACATCAGCAGGCCCGCCGCTCACAGGCGCTGGGCGAGGATCAGCGAGTCCATCGTGAGCGTGAACGTGATCGGGATCGTGATCGGGATCGCGAACGTGAGCGGCAAAGGTTTAGTGACCAGGAACAGTATCGTCATTCGATGCACGGACGCGATCACCGCCATCACCAACATCATCATCAGACGGATCAACTGAACAACCTCAACGTCCGCCAGCATAGTCGCATTGTGGCCGGCTCCAACAACTTCAATGCAGCAAGTGGCAATGGCAATGTTAATGGTGTCGCCACTATGGACACCGGAGCAGTCTGCCGGATCTCCAGGCAACAGGCCCGCAATGTGAGCCACAACGTGTCCAACGCCTCCTTTGCGTCCCAGCAGCAACAACACAATCTCCAGGTGCTGCAGCAACATCGTCCGCCACCTTCTGGGACGGCTAGTCTCCAGCGGCGCTCGCATCACCATCATTCCACCAGATCTGATCGAAATGCAGCACCACCGGTTACCACCCCAACTGCCGCACCCGTTTCCAATAACACTGAAGCTACCAGTACTACCACTGCCACTACCTCAGATGCCACCGATATCGATAACGAGGCTTCAACATCGTCAGGAACTGGGGCCCCAGGCGGCCATTATCCACTCTGGCTGCCCGAGTACAAGCGCAAAGCTTTTAATGTTAGAAGATCCTATTACATTCATCCTTTAAGCTTCCATTTCCGCACTATACTAATCGATTACCCCTCTTTTCTTGCAGGCCTCCATGGACGAAAAGTACGTGGAAACCATTTGGGCCAGCCTTAAGAATGCCATTCAGGAAATTCAGAAGAAAAACAACTCGGGATTGTCGTTCGAACAGCTCTATCGCAATGCCTACAACATGGTGTTGCACAAACACGGCAACAGACTGTATTATGGACTTCGGGAAGTGGTCTCCGAGCATCTGGAACACAAGGTGCGAACGGAGGTACTCGAGAGTCTGCACAGTAATTTCCTGCCCAAGTTGAATCAAGCCTGGACCGATCACCAGACCTCGATGGTAATGATCCGCGACATACTCATGTACATGGACAGAGTTTATGTGCAGCAGCGAGAGGTGGACAATGTATACAATCTGGGATTGATTCTGTTTAGAGATCAGGTATGAACTATCTTGTAAATGGTACATCTTCCAGTCCAAACTAATGACTTGTCCTCTTAGGTTGTTCGCTTTTCGGAAATCCAAAAGGCACTGCGAGAGAAACTGCTCGGCATGGTGATGGAGGAGCGGCATGGAGAGGCCATTAACCATTTGGCCATCAAGAATGCCTGCAGTATGCTTATCACCTTGGGCATCAACTCACGCACAGTTTACGAGGAGGACTTCGAGAAGCCATTCCTCGCCCAGTCGGCGGCGTTCTACAAATTCGAGTCGCAGAACTTTCTTGCCGAGAACAACGCTGGCGTTTACATCAAGAAAGTAGAGGCACGCATCACGGAGGAGTCCTCGCGAGCGGCCCTCTATTTGGACAAGGACACAGAACCACGCATTGTGCGCGTCGTAGAAGAAGAACTGATCAAGAAGCACATGCGCCCCATTGTTGAAATGGAGAACTCGGGTGTGGTGTACATGATTAAGAATTCAAAGACCGAGGACCTGGCCTGCACATACAAGCTCTTCTCGAGACTGAAAGAGGAGGGCCTCAAGGTGATAGCCGATACCATGTCGGCGTATTTGCGCGAACAGGGACGCATGCTGGTCAAGGAGGAGGAGAACGGAAACACAAACCCCATTACGTTCGTGCAGAACCTTCTGGATCTCAAGGATCGCTTTGACCAGTTCCTGGTGCACTCATTCAGCAACGATCGCATCTTCAAGAACGTCATCTCATCCGATTTTGAACATTTCCTCAATCTGAACAACAAATCTCCAGAGTATCTGTCTCTATTCATAGACGACAAACTGAAAAAGGGCGGCAAGGGAGTGAGTATCTTAAATAATGAACATTTATTTTCATTTCTTAAGAGATATTCCTGCTTTATAGATGAGCGAGCAGGAGATTGAATCCATTTTGGACAAAACTATGGTGCTCTTCCGTTTCCTATTGGAGAAAGATGTCTTTGAGCGCTATTATAAGACGCATTTAGCCAAGCGATTGTTGCTAAACAAATCAGTCTCAGACGATTTCGAAAAGAACATGATATCCAAACTAAAGGTTAGTTTAATCTACTTTTAAAGTTTAAAAAGCAAAGTAATTCAAATTAATTCTATTTCAGACTGAATGCGGCTGTCAATTTACCTCGAAGCTAGAGGGCATGTTTAAGGATATGTCTGTCTCCAATACGATCATGGACGAGTTTAAAAACTTTGTAAATAATAACAATTTATCTCTGGGCGGTGTGGAACTTACGGTACGCATACTAACAACTGGTTTTTGGCCCACCCAGGTACGTTTCTTCAATAATTAATAAGCTTGAAAGTAAACTAATTAACTTAATTGCAATTCCTATGATTAGACGGCAACTCCCAACTGCAACATACCCGCCGCACCCCGCGAAGCCTTTGATATTTTCAAAAACTTCTATTTAAATAAGCACTCAGGTCGTCAGCTGACGTTACAGCCTCAAATGGGTGAGTATAATTAAATATATTAACTAAGTCCTAGTTCTAATGGTATTTTGTGGTTCTGTTTTCCAGGCACGGCTTATATTAACGCTGTGTTTTATGGCCGCAAAGCAGCAGACACTGAAAAGGATAAGGATGCCCCCAGCTCCAGCTCCACCGGCTGTGCTGTGCCCACCAACACACGCAAGCATATTCTGCAAGTGTCCACATACCAGGTGGGTTTTAAAGTAATTTCTTTTGAAAGAAACATTTAATATTTATATGTATCTCTTTTTAGATGTGCGTTTTGCTTCTATTTAACAACCGAGACGTTCTAACCTACGATGACATCCACCAGGAGACGGACATACCGGAAAGAGAGCTAGTCCGAGCTCTGCAATCTCTGTCCATGGGCAAGCCAGCGCAGCGACTGCTAGTCCGGAACTCTAAAACGAAAACTAAGGATATTGAACCTACGGATGAGTTCTATGTGAACGATGCTTTTGTATCCAAGTTCCACAGGTATAACTCACTAGATATCCATTAAAGACTTAATATATTTAATAACCTGTTATTCCAGGGTTAAGATTCAAACTGTGGCAGCCAAGGGTGAGTCGGAGCCAGAGCGCAAGGAGACACGCGGAAAAGTCGACGAGGATCGTAAGCACGAGATCGAAGCCGCTATTGTGCGCATCATGAAGGCGCGTAAGCGTATGGCTGTAAGTAATTATATTTTTAAAAATCTTATAGATATTAATAGATACTGTTTCTGTAGCACAACCTTCTGGTTTCGGACGTGACGTCGCAGTTAAAGTCGCGCTTCTTGCCGTCGCCTGTGTTTATTAAGAAGCGAATCGAGGGGCTCATCGAGCGTGAATATCTGCAACGATCGCCCGAGGATCGAAAGGTGTATAATTATTTGGCTTAAGCGGCGGCAGCGGCAGCGGCAGTGGCAGTATAATGAGCACGATCCGGATCATACTCATCTTTAAATTGCAAATTGCAAACTACAGTAAACCAATGAAGCTGAAAATCATCGCTCGAACAGCAGGCGCCTGGGAAATCGAGCAGCAATTATAATTTTGACCAAGATTATAGATGACTTACAGTCCAACCAACTGAAAGCATACAGTTACCAATAAGTGCGCCCCGAATTGTGAAATTCCTCTTTCGCAGACTCTCTTTTTTTGTAAGCCTGACATTCAAAATTGAACAGTTAAAAAATGCAATTGGATAACGCGAGCCACCTCACGACACAGCCTATTATCCTCCTAATATATTTTTCTTAATATTCTCTAATACTGTTGTGTTTCGGTTCATTTATGTTGCGCCTAGCAAGTGTATAGCAGTTCAAAGTTTCTTTTAAATCAGCATCCGCGCCGCCAACAATCAACACAACACCACCCACACACACCACACCACACACAACCACCCTCAGATACATTCACCCACATGAATCGTACGCCAAGCAACATACATAAGAGTAATAATGCATAATGCAAGCCCTTATTTTTAAGCAGATGAGTAAAAATTAACATCAATTTAAGCAAAAAAAAGGAATATTAATAACTATAAATATAGCTAAAATAATAAATTTATAAATGAATTATTAGTTTTAGTGCGCGTTTTATACGTCAGCCCTAAAACAAAAATCAAAATTCAAATCCCTGTTTTCAGAAAATATACACACATCTCTTTTTAGATTCATGTGAAAATGATTAAATGATTGCAATTAATGATTCCTATATTGATTTTTAATTACGCCCCTCTAAACGCACGTGTTTGAAACGAAGTGATTATGATAAACTGTATGAAAGTTGTTTTATCTATTAGTTGATATGTGGAATCGATTCCAAACATAAATGCAACAGTTTTATAATGGATTTGAATTAAGTAGGACGCAAACAATTCACTTTGATTTTATTAAATTATGGAAAATCAACTTAACGCCCGAACAAATAATACTTAAAAAAAAAATGATGTAGGGAGAAGGCGCGATTTAAAAAAAATTGTAAATATATATTTTTGTTCTTACATATGAGAAATCGATATAAATAAAACGTATATGAGCGTTAACATTTAATAAAATTGTTTGGTGTTTTTTTAATGTATTTTTTTTATCGGTGGGGCAATATCAATTGGCCCAAAACAAATAGCTTGCCGAATGGGCTTTAAGTTTTATACAAAAAAAAAAAAACAGCGCAACTTGGGCAAACAGCAATGACTTGCTTTTATTTTTTGGATATACTATGTGGAAGCCCCATCGTACCGCTAAGTTCTTGGGCAAACAGACCCGGGAGCGATCCAATCTGAGCCGATCCGACGCACTGATAAGCGCAGCGAGAGCGGGAGCGAGAAACGAACTGGGCTGGCTGGCTGCCTTCTCCTTGGCTGGGAATATTATATTGCCCCATAGAGTTGAGTGAGAATCGGTTTAGTACGCGATCGAGATACAATTTCAGTTTCAGCTTCGGTCTCCAGGGGAAAAGTTGTTTCGCCGAGCTCGCGGAATTTAGATTGTGGAAAAGCAAAAACAAAAACTAAAAAAAAATTCACAAAAAGCAACAACCAGCTGAAATCGTATACTTAATACGCGTGTGTGTAGCTCAAAAAAAAAAAACAAAAAACAAGAAATATATATATATATAAATAAACAAAACTACATGCTACGTCAGAAGACTACAAACAAAAGATATGAACGCAGCGCTGACGTTGCCGCCAAGGTTCAAATCGGATATTAAATTTGTTTTGCGTGTTTTTTCATTGTTTTTTCTTGTTTATTTATTTTAATTTTTTTTTTCGGGTTTGTTGTGATAAAATTTTTGTAAAAAAATTTTTACATGTGTAGGATTTGGTGTGATTTTGAATTCAAAGCGATTTGCGTGCACCTTACAAGGTGCAGTTCTCCGCACTGCCGTGCGAGGCCCGAGATCAGCGGTGCCTTGAGATTGCCACTCTCGAAGTGAACGTTCCGATGTGGAAACCTTATACACATGTCTAATTACACAAGCTCCTGTCCAGATCAGATACAAATTCAAAAATTATAAACAAAATCAAAAAAAAAAAAAAATAGCAACCCTCTGACCATTGAATTGGAAAATTTTAATGGTGATACGAGTTGAAAGTTTAGGAAGACGCAGCTGAATACCAGATCAAGATAATGAGCCGACGACCACAGGGCTTCGTCTTGGACAACAAGTCCATGGGCCTCTGCAATCCCAGGCCACCGTCGCCTGGCGCGTCTCCCAAACCCAGTTGCAGCACCCTCGCCGGCAAGCAGCAGTGCCAGCCGTCGTGCCAGGATACAGTCCAGTCTTCGGTGGCTATCCCCGACGAAGGATCAGCCGCCCATGCCCAGTGCAAGGTTAGCATGGAGCCCCTGTGCACGGATCACTATCGCTGCCTGCTGAAGAAATTCCGGGACTCCTCTGGCGACTCCGACAAGGTGAACTTTGAGTTGAACAACATATTCCTCAAGAGATTGGACGAGATCGACAGCCTGGAGGATCAGGGCGGAGATGCAATGGTGAGGGGCTAGGGACTAGAACATCTAGCTATCAATTATAAAGACTGTGAAGTCTTAACGAGGTTGTTAATGTCAAAAAGTCATTAGCCATGAATGACGAACTTAAAACACGTCGTTAAAATTATAGGTTTTAAATGTTAATTTATAAAAAATGTGTTCTTGTTTCTAATTTATAAAAACCTCATTAAATAAATTGCAGCACAGTTCCCAGCTCCGTTTGGTAACTTACCAGGAGTGGGTGGACTTCTTGCTGAACGTGAACCATGTCATCCTGGGCAACATGTCCGCCTTGGAGGACGAGGCCTATGGCAAGATCTTGACCTGCTTCCAGTCGGTTCAGGGCGAACAGCAACAGTCCCTGGAGGAGAACCGAAAGCTGCGGAAGGACATCTGCGCAATCATCAAGCTGGTGCAGAATGCCTACCATCGGGGTTGCTGGCAAACGGAGGGCATCACTCTGGAAACGCTGACCATCAGGCAGCTTCTGGGCGTGGCCAAGGATCAGCGCCTGCCAGAGAGCGAAAGCGATAAGGTAGGAGATGCGGATATGGTGGAGATGGGTTGTGGCGACATCCCGCGATGCGTAACCAAAACCAAGACGTCTCGTAAGATTGAAATAAACGCCAAGACCTTTAAGATTCCTCGTTGATATTTTATAAAGTTTTTTATGTTTTGTCTAATAAACTTGTTATATTTTTAAGTTAAATTATAAGCCTGGTTTTAATGGGTACTTAATACCTTTTGCAGGTATCCGAATGCATGAAGTCCTTGGTCAACGAGATGGCCGCCAAACATGACGAGGTCCAGCTCCTAAAGTCTCAACTCTGCGCCCTGGATGAGGTGGTCCTGACTGCCAGGCAGAAGCTGCTCCTAAAGGACCAGTGTATAGCTCAGTTAAATCAACAGGTGAGTTTTTAAATTCATTTTTTAGTTCATCTGTACCTGGAAATGTAATTTTTGAATTTTAAACAAATTTTTTCCGTCGTAGTGACGCTTGAATTCCTACTCATTATTCAGCCAAGTTTATTTATAGAATAATTGGAATTCTATTCAAGCTACTCTTATCATTTCATCGTTCAGACTAAAGTCACATTTATAAGAAAATTATTGTGTTTTTATTCGAATAGATTTTCCACTAAAACAATACATTTAGTGCGTCATCCGAATATCACTTTTTATTATATATATTTTGTCTCGATCAGCTACAGGACATTACACAGTGCTATAACACCATGACCGACGAATCGACCACCAAGGAATCACAGCCCGAAAATGAAAAGAACCTGAGTTGTCCTCCGGGTGAACCCTCATCCGACAGCGATCCGATGCCAAAGAAGATGCTGAACAGCCTGGTCGTCCATGACCGCGCCGAGTGTGAAATGGTTCGATTGCTCAACTCGGAGATCAGCGAGCTCTTCCAGCTTCACAGCAAGCAGGAGTTCCAGGCCGTGGAGGATCGTCAAAAAAATTTGGCTGGCATCATGGAGGAGTTGGTAAGATTCATGCATTCTAAAAAAATATACAGAACTTAAAATCCTACCTTTTCAGAACTCTTATCATTTAGATACGCAGAACAAACTCGATAATATACGCAGCCAGTTGAGGATTCTCCATGAGGATCTGGATGAATCCTACCTGGAAACCCGCAAATCGGAATGTGAGGCAGATGATCCAGACGCTGAGTTACTGGTTGCAGTGGCCAGAAAACTGTTGAATTTGAGCAATTGCAATCGGGAGTTGCAATCTATGCTCATGCGTAAGGACCTGGATTGCAAAAGTACGTATACCTGAGAGTCCTTTTTGTAACCTGAATCAATATAACCAAGAAAACAGTCAAAGTTACAGAGCTGCAGGCTGAGTTCGAGTCGGAAAGTCTCTTAAATACGCGGAATTGTGAAATACTTAAGGAGATAGCGGACCTCATATCTAAGCTGGTAGATTTTGTTGATTTTTTTTTTGTTAAAAAATTTTTAACTAAAAAAATTTTATTTGTTAGGGTTATAAGGAATTTTCATATAACGACATCTACAGAGAAAACTGTACGGATAACCCATTCTGTACTGCCATTATGGAGATGTTCGATGAGAAGTCGGACCAGTCGGAAAAGGAGTTCGAGAGCCAGGTAGCTGTGAGTATCTGACGGTTTCGATTACATCGATTCCAATAAACGTCTTTGTTATATGAAATGCAGAAAACCGATACGAAAACAGCTACCCAAACAAAAGAGTACAAAGCCAAAACGAATTCAACAACTAGAGCTGCAACTAGACCAACAACACAACCTACAACAAAACCCACAACAAAACCTACAACAAAACCCACAACAAAACCCACAACTAGACCTACAAATAAACCTACAACTAAGCCAACAACTAAGCCAGCAACTAAGCCAACAACGACACCAGGGACAACACCCAAAACATCTACAATATCAAGGAGCTCCAAGTAACTGTGTCACTTGTTGACCCTCCCAAAAATAAATAACACATTTAGTCTAAGCTAAGCCATTTTAAGAGTTAGCCAAGTAAGCTTAAAGTTCGTCCTTATTCGACTAAGTTGCTAAGTTATTTATCAACGGAACAAGTTCCCGCCAAAAAACGAACTACGAGAATCAACTGAAATCCACATGAAGACAATAAAGCCAGGAGCTTAGATAAAGGGGTTTAGTTTTAAAAATATTTAATTTATAAACCTGAGAAGAATCCAATTCTTCTTCTGGTAAATTAATCCTAAGATAGTTCCATTTGTTAAATAAAAATTGTAGATTATTGTATCTACGTCTGTGGCTTGAGATACTTTTCGTTTGCACATAACCTGTCTTATGTGGTAAATGACATTCGCCTTCGGGCTAACAAATACTATATATAAGGACACATATATACTTAGGTTGGAATGACAACAAATATTATTGTTGCCATTCGAGTCCTCTGATTTATTTACCCATATATTTCGTAGGGCCCAATGTAAGAGATTCGTTTCACTCCCCCTTTCGAGGCTTTTTGTCTACATTCGACAAATACAAATCGTTCGCGAATGTGTTTATTGTGGAAGCTCGGCTGTAAGTTCAACTGCAATTGCCCAGGAGGTGGGGGTAGGGTAGTGTGCCCTTTGCCCCAACCTCCTGGTCGACGAGGTATACCTGCTCTGCTCCCCAGGAGCTGGCAAATCGGAAATAGGTTTCGTGTTATTTATTTACCCACAATCGACACGCGAGGCAGGCGAGCAGTGATATGCATATCGATGAGAGCCGCGGAGGGCTGGGAGCTCTGGCCGAGTCGGGGGTCATGGTAGGAGCTCGTGATCCTCGTGATAAAAAACACTACTACTAGATATTAAGAACATTTTTTAAATATATATGAAAATATTTTTAAGAACCTTTCAAAAGTACTACTACGTTACCTCTCAGTAAACCTATCAAGCCTTTAAAAACCTTTAACATTTCATTAAAAAAAAAAATGAATAGAATAAAAATCTATTAAAGAACCGGTATAGAACACGCTATGCCTCACGGCATCATCTCCTGCTGGAAGTGCTTGGCGCAAAATCAAACAGGAAGCAGTTGTCGAGGGGTCGTCGGCGCTGGGAACCGGAGTCGGCCGGTTCAGAATCCTGTCATCCGTCGGCGGTTGCTGTTTAGTCGCGTGAAACAAATCAAGGAAGCGCCAGGAATCGGCACCGGGAATATATCGCATCGGATCGCATAAAACTGACAATTTACGAGCCCTAATTAGCCGCGCTCCACCGCCCACACACCCACACGCTCGCCCCTATTTGAATTTTCCGCCGTCGCATGGTATTCATTTCGCGCGAAAAGTCACAAGGGAAAGCGTGCAATTAGTACGAAACTTTTCCGCTCATTCAGGCCCTGTTTTTTTTCGTGGTTGTTGCCTTTGTTGTTGACAGCAAAACGCCAAGGGAACGGCCAAAGTTGGCCAAAAGTGCAAATTGTTTTCGAGTGTTTCGTGCGGGGGCGGGAAGTGAAAATATTTCTGAAAAGAGCGAACAGAGCCGAACTGTAAATGTGCAAATTGAGTCAGTGAAAGGTGTGGAAAACTACCAAAAAATAAAACTAAAATAAAATAAAAAATATAAACGGAGGGTCGAGTGGGTGAGGGCTCTTAATGGGTTTAATGACAGTCGATGTCGACAACCCTTTATTTTGTATTTTTGTTGTTGGTTGGTCTGACTGCGAATAGGAATTCATAACAATTCATAACAATTCATTGCCCCGGGTCTTAATCGATTTTCACATTTACCCAGGCCTATCAAATTCGTACTCCTCCGCCCCAATATAATATGCCTTTAAAAGTGTTTTAAGTGCGCGTAGCCACGCTTCCCTCACTTCTAAAAAAAATAATAATAAAAATAAAAAGGAAAGACTGTTACCAATTGAAGACCCAGGCCCAGACAGACGATATTATTTGCTGCCACCCGCGGCAACTTTATTTTCAAATCGTGTCAAACAGTCGGAGGTCTCGGCTGGTATATATATGTATTATAATATCTATAAAACTTAGGGGGAAGCACCTACCCATCATTGTCGCTATATAGTTGTTTGACTTGTGTTGCCAAAGTGCCAAAGAAACGAAACTTTGAAACCCGACACCCCGACATCCCGACACCCGACATCCGAAACCGAAACCTTGCCACCTACTACGGTTCGATTTGGTTTTATTTTCGTGACAAACTTTTAATAGCAATATTATTGAAATGAAATGAAAGCGTAATGAAGTTGAAATTCGTCTGGGTTATGCCAGATATATTTCCGAGTCCATGCAATATGAGAACGGCACGAAAGCCTCGCAACCCCACAAGCGATTTTAAATAAAAATCCAGCCCGGGCGCTGAAGATAGAGGACGGGGGTTATCCGGATAGAAATAAAGATAAAATACAGAATTGACAACTGACAGTTGATTCCGTGTCCGGAACTCTAGGACAATTAGTTATAGCTATTCAACTCTGCCATGGTAAGCTCCGATGCACATCAACCTGGTTGCATTTTCAATTGCATTTTGAAAACTTGTAGAACGAAGAGACCTCCTCCGTCACCATTAGCCCCGATTGTCCGCACCGCCAGGAGCTGGAGCACACCCTGCTCCAGTGCCAGACACAGTCGGAAATCCTTCAGGCCACTCGGGACAATTACCTAAGCATTATCGATGAGTTTAAGCGGGACCTGGAGGAGCTGACAGAGCAGGTGGAGCAGCAGCATCACCAAGCTCAGATCCCACCCTGCCCCGAACCAGAGCTACACATCGAAGCTCCTCCGCGAATCAACTGCGAACTGGAGATACAAGTTGGGACTTAAAAACAAAGACTTTTATACCAAATACTTATATATATTTTTTATATTTTTTTATCTGTTTTTTAATATTTTTTATAACACCTAGAACGAACGCTTGGTCTGCCAAATCAAAAGCCTAACGGATACTCTTAAGAATCGCAATGAACTAATCAATAAGTTGCAATCTATGATCAATAGTTACTCCGATATGAGTGAAAATAGTCGCCTCAAAGAAGAGAATCACGAGCTTAAAATGAAAAATAGTAAGTAATAATATTGTTTAAATAAAAATTTGCATTAAACCTTAATTTTTTTAGGTGAAAATGCACGAAAAACGCGTGAAATTGCTGAGCAGCTGAACGGCCAGGTCACTCAACGGGTGGAACTGCTCAACAAATACGAATCCCTTTCCGCCAGTTTCGAGGAACAATGCCAGGAGCTGAAAGGAGCCAACCGCCGGGTGCAGAGTCTGCAGGCTCGACTCTGTCAGGTGGAGAAGCTGCAGGAAGAGCTAAAAACGGAGGTGGGTTTAATCTTTACTTTTTTAGTTATGGAAGTTAAAATTTTTAATCTTCTAGCGAAAAATGTTACGGGAGGAGGTGATTGCCTTGAAGGAGAAGGACGCTTGCAGCACGGGTCGTGAACGGGCCCTCCAAGATCAGTTGAGATGCAGTCAAATAGATCTCGACAAAAGCCGTTGCCTTATCCGGAACATGCAATCTCAACTGCAGCAGCAGGAGCTTCTGCACCAGGAATCCATCCAGGATCTGAAACAGGCCAACGAGAGTATAAGGGAGCAGGTGAGAGGCATGGGAGCCGAGTGCCAGCAGATGCAGCAGCGCCTGAAGTATGTATTCCCGCTTCTGGATAGATTGCGACCATCTTAGAGCAGCCATATCTCCTCTTCCTTTAATCCAGACAGGAGGCGGACGTCAACCGGCAGCAGAAACAGATCATAGACACGTTCCGCAAGTGGAAGGATGCCCAGGTCAGGGCCGACGACGTGATGCGCGAGCGAAATAATCGGGCCGAGGAGCACATCAACATGCTGCTGGAGGAGAACCAATCACTAGCTGAGGAATATCGCCTGCTTGTTAGGGACCACACTGTGCTCGAGACGGAGATGGATCGAGTTAAGCAGGCTGTAAACTATTCGTCCTCGTCAAAATTTGAATGTCCCCCGGGTATGGAGAGGATCGAAGGAGGCAACGATGTGAGTCGCAATTTGAAGTCCCTTTCCATCCCAATTCCGTTTCGGAGAGTTCTATATAAGTTTCATTCAAGATTTATTTTTTTTCAAGTATCTTAAAGCTTAGGTATTTCTTTCGTAGAATTTGCTTTTTTATTGTAAACGTTTTCATTTGTTTTAAGTAAAAAAAAATATAGATATTTGTTATTGTCAAAATTTATAATTTTGTTTTCTAGTAGACTTGTTTTTATTTTAAACATTCGAGTCCAATATTCATCTATATTAAAAATCTAAACATATTTTATCTTTCTTCCAAAACTTTCTTATCGAAATTCAAACAAACCAACTCACATTGGAAATTATTCGGATAGTTACCCTATGAGAACTAGGTTACTTGTTGCTTAATTTTTACTAATTCTATGGTAAATACCTTTAGATGGCCAGACGTTTGAGGAGCATGAACGACACATCCCAGCGCATCTCAGACCAGTGCAAAACCCTGAATACCAATACCGATAAGACAGCTCAAATCACTGACAAAACCACAAGGGCCCAAGGTGGTGCAGGGAAGAGGGACAGTTTAAATGCTCAACGTCCTTCGAGATTTTCGAACAACCTGTTCCTGTAGTAACAAGAGTAGCACTTTCTCCTCCCTCCGTCCATTTCAACTTGGTACACCCTCCCGAATAATTTTTGGCCAACAACGATTTCGAATAAAGTATTTTGTAAATTATCTTTGTAAATTCTGGTAGAAAACTAATAAAACCAGGTGCTTGTGTAATATAATTTTATAATTTTATATAATGTAATATAATTGAGTTATTATGGGGAAGGAATACAATTTGAAATCAAAGCTATTATTTCTAGTTGGGAACTTCAGGTTGAATAAGCTTGGCTCGTTCGCTGATGGCAATCAGGGCCATTTTGATTTGTGCCCTCTTCCGGACACTCTCCTCCCGCAAAACATCAGACTGCTTAGTGAGAATCTTGACACGAACATCGCTGAATTTCTCCGCCTCTTGCAAACTCATTTCCAGGTACACATCCTTGCCAATGTTTACCAGGATGCGGTCCATTTGCTTTACTCGGGCCTGCATGAAGATGTTACTTCCGATGTTGACCTGTGTTTTGTAACCCTCTGGCAGGTGCGTCTCAAACGTCTGTAGAGTGTTTTTTAGCTGGACATACTCCATTATCTCCTCATTGTACTGCCCCATGCACTTTTCCAGTTGACGCAGATCCTCTTTCAGGACTTCGTTTATGAATTCCTCGATTTGGGTGATGCGCGCCTGATTGGCTTCTTGACTGAAGGTTAGATTTAAAGGTGAGAAACAAATGTATTATTATTTTTAATCCTTACTCAGTCATCTGTTTAGATTTATCCTGCATTTTGTCCGCGAAAAGCTTGCCGCAAGCGTAAACAAAAACCAGCTGATGGAAATGTGTCTAAAATCTTTACCAACACTGTTCATGATACTGTTATTTGTTATCGGTCTGTTAAGCGCCGAAGTGTCTGTTATTAGCAGTGACCTGTTGAATTTAACAGCATTTGTTAATAGGTTTTTGTTTGTATAATTTGAATAATATTTTTAATCATTGTAAATTGGGAAGTTAAATTAAAAAGTAGAAAATTAAAATGTCTTAATAATATAAAGAACATAAAGGTATTACATATTTAAGAAAAATTAAATGGTGAGAATAACATAAATATATAAATAAAATAAAAACATAAGTTTCTGAGGCTCTTAAGCTTTTTTAATTTTTTATAGCTTCTTGTAATTTTATACCTCTTAAATCTATGGGTTTGAAATATTAATGGTCTTCATAATGCCAAAGTTCTGTCAACTATAATCCGCAACATGGAAGATTTTTTGCGATAATCCGAAAACTTGGACAGTTCAACGCACATTTTATATAATCCCACCCATTGCAAAGTTGGTGAAAAGATAAACAATTGCCTGAGCACGCAATGGAAATCAAAACCCAAAAACTTCACATTCGAGGGCTTTGTCTGCGAATCCGAATGGAATTGAAATCGGGCCCGCGGCATCATATCATCATCCATTTGCATTTTTAATGTATATTTAACCTTTGAATTTGAACCTTATATGCAGCATGCAGTCCGCTTCCTGTTTTTTCCTCAAAAATTTTCTCCAATCTTCCAGCAGGCTGTGATTGTTCCGTATTTGGCAACGAGAGCTGTCAAGCTCAATTATCCCCATGGTTTATTGAAACGAATCCATTTTATTTTAGTCTCTACAGACTTGGTGAGTATTTCAATTTTTAAATATTTTCCAAAATCACAAAAATTTGTATTTTTTTTGCAAGACCTATCCATATCTCTTCAATACAATTAAATATGAGTTTCACTTTGGTACGCAAACTCTTGCTGAGACCCATCAAAAGGATGCGCGGCGTGATGGAGAGTCCTTTGGTCCAGAGCCCTGTGGAGAAGTTCCGTAAAGTCTGGGTTCGTACCTACATGCCCGTGGCAGGACCACCGCGCTTCCCCATGTCGGCCGGCCAGCGCCTGATCTTTGGCTGGGGATCTCTTCTGCTCATGATGGTCATTCCCTTCTGGGCTCTGTATAGTACTCCCAGGTGGTCCAAGTTGCACAATGGCATACCTCTGGACGAGGATAAGCCGCCGCCAGAAGAGCCAGAGGACAAGGAAGATAAGAAGAAATAATTTAAAACTAAAGACCCTGAACACTTTTAAACGGTGACTTCATAATCATACTTTTACTGGGGCCTCCATATTTTTCAAATATTTGTGAAACAGCATTCAACAGCGTGGTCCTTATACTGTAATCTATCAAGTTAATAAAAAGCATAATTCTCTAGCCAAAAAGACAAAAACTAAAGTTTTTAACTAATATTTTAACCAAAGACATCTAGTTAGGACTTTTGATCAACTCATGTCGATAGTGAAAGTGAGGACTCCCCATTAAATCATTTTTGGCCAACAGGTGGTGATTTGGTTGACTTGATTTACTTTGCACCCCACAAATAGCTTCGCTTCGATGTCAGGCCACCAATTAAGGATCCGCGCCGCAGCCGACAATAAACCATCCATTGTCCACATCCAATTAGCCGCCTAAAAACACCTCGGCTCCTGTGGAAAGGCTCTTCCACAGGGGTAACGGAGACCATTTTCCACGGTTGCCTGCCACAAATCAAAATGCTGGAAAACCAAACAAAAAAAAAACAAACGAAGAAAACCAAAAAACCAGCCAAGGAAACCCAAAAAGCAAAGTGCCAACTTTCATTAAAAGTATTTTTGTGCTCATTGCCAATGCAAGGCGATGCATTCAATTGTGAAATGGTCTTTCGGCCAGTCCCATGCCTAGTTTTAAGCCAGCCCGGGCCAGGCTAGTCTGTGACTTTGACCACCAACTCCTCCTGTTGTCTCTGGGCCTAGTGCATTGTGCATCCAATCCTCATCTCATGATCTACAACACACCGTGACCTTCTTTGCCTTCCACGGCCCATGACAACAGGCTCTATCGATGCACAGTAAAAATTTAAATAAATATCTAATAAATAATTTTCTATTAAATCGTTATCAAAATTGTTAAGTCTTAGTGGAAACAGAAACTATTAAAGAAATTTATAGACTTGACTGTAAATAAACATTATAATTATTTTTGTGCCTGCACTGACTCAGACTCCGCAAAACATTCGCACACAAAATTTGAAAAAGTAAAACCGTCGAAGGAAAGTGAATTTCTTTTTAAGCAAATCAACTTGCCACGCCTCCCCCAGTTGCCCAGTTTGCCCAGCTTCCAGCCAAATCCCCCCAAAGTCCCCTGTTTCTGCAGCTAGGCCTGGGAGATTCACAGATTTTTTGGTGAAATTTCATGTGCCATTAAACTGGTTCTGTCAGGCGCTGCTCTGTCGATCGGGTTTTCGGTATCGATCCGACTCCCCTCCCATAGGGGGCCTGAGTCTGGGCTTTTCGAGTCTGGGGTTTTGGGGTTCGAGTCTGCCTTGGGTGACAATAAAACTCAATGCTCATTTTGTGTCTTATTGTATTTGTGGAAACTTATTGGAAATTAAATTAAAATTTGTACAATAAGTATTTGGTTATATAAATATAGTATTTGGTTATAATTGGCAGAAGCAATTAGAAATTTATTTAAATGAAGAAGATTAATAAAGGTCTTCAACATTTTAATTAAATTTATATATCATGAAAATAAATGTAAAAAAGAAATTTAAGTTATTCTAAAATGTTTAAGCTTCCATGGTATCTTGTCCCTCTGTATATCACATATGTGGCATGCCCCTTTTCCCCTTTTTTTTTAATATCGCCCACATCACAATCCAACTCAGGCTTAATTTCCATTTGTGGCCCAAACCATTCAAGAGGCAAAGGAAGCTTCACTGCCTTCCTGCGACATGTCTGGTGGGCGTTGCAAGAGTGAGTGCATTTTGTGGCAGCACTTGCTGCACTTGCCACACGCTGCGTTGCGTCAGTTTAGTCAGTTTAGTGTGTCAGAAGCCGCAAGAAGAAAGTTGCTCCGGCTGCGGGATCCAAACATTGATCCGGTTTAGTTGTCGCTTCAGCTACAGGTTCGTTGTTCCTTCCAATGGGGAGTAGTAATTTTTTGTTGCATATATCGGATGGCTGTTTTTATGTTTTTTTTTTCTTACTTTCTGCCACCACCACCACACGAAAAATCGTCGTCCACTTTCGGTCGCAATTAATTATGCGGCGGGCAGCAGAAAATGAAAGTGCGCTCAGGTTGCAAGTCCAGATCTTGGGTTCTCACTCTCTCTTTCTCCGTCTCCTGTCCTGGTGGCATGGTCGTCTTTGGGGCGTTTTTTTTTTATATTTTGTTGGAAATCTTAGTCAGTGAGATGCATTTTTCCCATCATTAGACATCGGGTGACTTTATTCCGGCACAGAGAGAGAAATTATAAAGCTGATTTGAAAAATTATTTCTTTAATGAAATGTACCCAACTATTTAATATTAATATATAAGTGTATAATTTTATTTTTAGAATGTAAATTTTAAATTATTATTAACGTAGAACCTTTTTGTTTGTGCCTTTTTAAGAGTCATCACATTGTGGCAAGATCTTTATTATCTTCAAACGAGAACGCCGATGCAGTGGGTCTCCCCATATCCTATGCTAGTCCCGGCAGTCCAGTGTCTTCCCATCGAGATGTCGTTGTCATCATTGGCCGACGGCCCATAAAGCGTTTTCTTTATGCCCGCCGACCGACTGACTCGCAGGTGGTCACTTAGTTTATGGCCCTGCAACCGCAAGATCGCACACCGATCGGCGCTGATTTGTTGCCGCCATTTCCCCCGCCTCCTTCAGATTGGTAACTAAGGAGGCCTAAAGTGTTCTCTCGAATGCTGTCACTAAAATATTAACCAGAAGAAGGGTGCTATTATTTCCTGAATCGAAGAAATAGATACTCTAGGATTTATAAAGAATAGTATATTTAATGAAATATTATTTAAGAATTTATTCAAGTTAATAATGGAACATTTTTTGACCTTGTTTCTTTTAAAAACAATTTTTCTAAACTCTTGCCACACAATCTTTATTGCCTCTATTGAGTCATCACCAATACCAGACAATACATTTTATTAGCCCAATTATGTCCACCCACGTCGCCTTCACCATTTCCAGAGCCAGAAGAAAGGAAACCTTCATCGGATGTCTAACTCAAATTTATCGAACTGTCAACGCCACAAACCCCTTGGGGCTACCGATCACCATAAAAAAAAACTAATTTTATTTCGATTGCGCGCTAATAAAAATTAAGCGTTAACCAATAAAACTTGTAGACAATTCTGTAAAATAAATAAGTGGAAAAGCCCACACAAAATGGCAATCGATCGACGGCGGCGACACGATCAGCGGTTTTTATTTGATCTATATGGCTGTGACCCCGTCAGCCAAAAAAAAAACAGAAACAAAAAAAATAATACTATAACAATGAGATATGGAAAACTGTGGCATGTTTTCCCAACATCAACTTGCCTCCGAGTTAAAGCTCATAATCGTTTAGGACCAAGACCATTGACTGCGAGTCTGAGCCAAAAAACTGAATCCAAGAAAACCAAAAAATAACTCTAGACACAAATTATATTAATGGGCTTTTGTTGGGGCCCGTTGATGATCAGGAGGTGGCTTTTTTTTGGAGGAGGAGAGCCTGGCATTTTGTCTTTGCACGAATCACGTTTTAGAAATTGCATTGCACATAGGAGGCACTCGGAATGATCAGCCAACTATAGTACTAAATGTGCTCCAGTCGGCATTCAAGTCTATGACACTGTTCAAATTTTGTTTTTAATTAAAGTAAAATATATTAAATTTAATAAAATATGGCTTAGGGTTCTGGATTTGAGGGCTTGATAATGCTATTAATAAGTAATTTTTGGAACTTTCAGATTAAATAAAAAATTGTTCTAGTTTCTTAATGTATGTATCTTACCATTCTTGTAAAGCCCTATCCCTATGATATAATATATTATGATTAAATGAACCAAAGTTTTCTCTTTGTGCATTTAGAGCCAAAATAATAGACAGAGCCATAGAGACAATCTCTTTGGCTGTCAGGGCTTTTTGCGCAAGTTCTGGGGATGTGAAAAGCATTTGGGCAATACAGGGGGTTTACGAGAGTAAGTGGCACTTAGTTTTAATACGTTGCCCTACCGTTTAAATGGGCCTGGCTCGCAGGCAAATCGGAGTTACCTGAAATAATTGCATGAACACAAATTAGAGCGTCGCACCGCGGTCGCGGATGGGGAATAGGAATTGTTCTGCGATTTTGCTGATTGCCCGGGCTCTTCCGTTGATTCCGTCTTAGCTTTCTCCACCAGCCCAGCAGATCACCAGCAAGAGGTCTCATCTTGTCACGTCTACTTGAGCCCGGTCTCAGTCTTCGGTCTGAAAACATCTTTTACTCTCTTCCCTTTTCATGCATTTCACCGGCAATCAGTGTTCTTCGATAATTTAAGCCGCCGAAGAATGTTTTATAGCCCGGCGAGAATAATGCGTATTGTGATCATTGAAGTTGGCCCAAAGAAAATAGAAAATATTACTTACTTCCAGCAAAGACATTTATTTGGTCGTTGAGCGTTTGGTTTCTGGGTTAGCTGGCCTGGTATTTGGCACTTGGGTCAATGTGCCACATGTGGGTTGAATGGATGAGTAATGGGTGTCGAAAGAAGCAGCTCCCATCCCGGGGTCTCAATTACAGGTGGTTAGTCTAATAAGAGGGCTGCTACCCTACAACCTACAGCCCAGAAGAAAGTTCGTAAATTACTTAATTTGCAATTGCAAATTAATCCAGATCACATGCAAGAATCTAGGCAATTTCCCAGGATACATCTGAGTGCACATTATATGTACTACATGTATTCCCATTAAAATGTGCACAAAATTCTCACACTCGAAAATAAAAATTGCAATGAAAAAATTGATTACCTGAGAAGAACACGTACGATAATCATAACTCTGGGGCCACCCTTTTCACACTTGTTTTTGTGGCGAGTTCAATTCAGGCATCAAGACTGATGCCTTTAGCATCAGTCAGTGTGCAACCATTTTTTTATTCTCTTCCCAAAGGCCTAATTGCATCACGTTTTTAGAGCAACTCCAAGTCGGGGGCACAAACATGCCGACAGAATATTACACAATTGTGAAACGCCAACTCGGGCCCAGAAAAAGAAATGTAATGCACATTAGTTGCAGTGCCCTGGACTCTCGGTTTCCGACTCTCAATCTGAGTCTGTAGTTTCATTTGTATCTGGATCTCATGGGTTGACGGAACGACTGACTGGCAGGTTTTGTCCATTTGCTTTAATGAACGCCCAGCCAGCCAGTGGTTGTGACAATAATAACAATTTCCGAACACTTCCGAAGATAGTAGCCATTTCATTTCCCTTACAGAAAACCAGTTCTGGGGAATTAGAGATTATAGAAAATTTATGTTTGGAAAATTAAAGGTCTTTCTGACATTGCAATAAAGTTTCTTAAAGAATTTTTTTCCTTTTTGTAGCCAGTAGCTTCTACCAATATTTTTAATCCCCGGCTTACTGACTTTGGTTAACAGGTAGTCCAAAAAACTTGTCAACCAATCCATTCTTAAGCTCAAAATTTTCCCAAATATTTCATAAATTATAAGCATCTTATCCATTAATTTTCCGGCTTATTTATTTTAATGCCATCATAAAGTTAGGCTACCCACATAAAAGACTTAATATTTAGAGCCATTTTCTAACTGAAGTGCAACTGTTTCGGCAATTTGCCTGCCGGTTGCGGATTTATGCAACTTCTGAGCAAAAGTGTCAGGCGCATCGGAGCGTTGCATCCTCTGTGCAAATTGCAGCAACATGTGGCAACAATCGTACGCAACCTGCAGCAACCAAATTTGGGCAAAGCGCCTGAGTCGACTTACCTGCTCTTAACTCCCAAAAGTTGTAGTTGCGTAGAATCCCAACTAAATGCTGACATTTAGCCGGTGTTTCAAATCCCTCCCCAAATAAAAAAAAAATAAGAAAGAAAAAGCGGATGCACATTTCCGGTGGGGCAGAGTCCGGGGGTTGCATGACAAAACAAACAATGCCACCGACCCAGACTCGGACTCAGAATCCACGCCCACCTACTGACCGCGTCAGCGAAGGCTGAAAGCCCAACGGCCCAAAGCCAAAGCCAGAGTCAAAGCTGAAGCTGAAGCTGAATCAGAACCTGAAGCCGGGGTTGGAGCTGCAAACTGGCCAAGTGCCGCCCGCGCGACAAACGTAATTGACCAAAAATGCAACGCTTGGCTGAACCGTCCCAATAGAACAGCAGCCGTCAACAGGGAATGGAGTTAGTCAGTCTAAAGAGGGGTATGCTCGACTAATATATGGCCTGTAGAGTGGGTGGATAATTCTATTCATGTTCATAGACAGAATAGTTGCTAGTCTTACTTCTCTTGGCCACTTCTTGAGAAACTCCAACTCTAAGCTCCCATTACATAATATCAAAATTCCACTTCTGTGTTCATTTTATCTAACTTATTTATCAGGAATTCTGGAAAAACATATGCCCCATTACGCGAGGCATCATAACTTAGAGTCTAGTACACCTATCCACATTTGTTTCAACCTTTTTGTGTATTTTTTTTCGCTTGCACATTTATTTGGATCTGGCCCGTTGAGTTTCTGTTTCTGTTTCTGGTGGATTTCTGTGAGTGATTCATAGGCGTCAGGTTCCCATATTGGGGCCCAGGGGAACCGCGTCAAAGACAAAGACCCAGCCGATCCAGCTGCATCTGGTTGGTGGGTTGAAAAGTTCGCCGCCGGCTGTTGAACTCCCGCGATCTAAGCCAAGATATTATCGTCAAATAATTATTATTTTTATCGAGTGTGTATGTACTCGAATGTGTTGTGCCAACGCAATGCTAGTTGGCTAATTAATTCATTAGCGATTGGCTCATAAAACGCGCCAATTGCCACATCTGTGGATGCTATCTGGTAGCTACCTTCGAGCTTCTGCAATTTTTATACTGATCTCTGTCGAGGTGTCGTCATTTAATTATTTTCCTTTTTCTTTTTCTTTATTTTAGCTGGGCCAGCTGCTTTGGGCCAGCTCCCTAGCTGAGGACACACTTTTTATGGCTATTCAATGGTTACGTGGGCATCCAGGCATCCTCCGACTGCCAATTAATAAAACGCACGTACAGAAAAATGTTTCTTTTATTTTATTTATTTTTTATTTTGTACGCTTACGAACAAAAACAAGTCGTTAAAGTTTACCGCAGATGCCTGACGCCTGATGATGTTCGATGCTGTAATAATATTGTATGCAAATCTCTCCCCCATCCCGGGAGTCGGCATTGATATAAAGTTTCAATTTACGGCTCATATATCATAACTTGGCCAGCAGGCCAGGTGGCCAGGAGTGGCGGGGGAGTGCAGAGTGCCAGTGCCAGTGCAGTACTTATGGGGCTTATTAACTCGTAAAAATGCGACTGTCACTGATCTTTCAGTTACAAATGTTGTCGGATGCTACGCGGTTTTCCAATGTTTTCTGGCGGGACGGACCTTGAAAAGGCAAAGTTACGAAATCCTATGGAGGAATTTTAATTCCAATAAAGGGGATTTTCCATGGTAATAAGAAATACTTTGTTTCTTAAAGGAGAAACTTAAGATAACTGAAGTTGAATATAGTACAGTAGTATACAAATTTGGTATTGCCCTTAAGAACCTATATAATTAGTAATTTAACTGTTTCTTCTGGCTCAAAAAAATTCTTTAAGACAAGATTAATAACCGGATGCATCTATTTTAAGAAATCAAGTTAAGATCTCAATGTCTGGCAGTCGAAAATAAACCCCGTGTAATCAGTAGGAGAGGCATTAAACCCGGCTCTAATTACCCATTTTATTTTAAGACCTTAACGTTTCCGCCCCGAATAATGGCCCAAAAAGCGCCACCTAGCGGCCCGAGTCGACTCCATACTGACCTTAACACAAATTACTCTTCAAATTGGCAAAAACCAAAAACAAAAAATATCAAAAAAGGCAGACAGAATATGGCCAAAAAGCCAAAGCAAAGTCAGAAACAAAAGCAAACACAAAGCCAAAAGTAAAGGCAAAGCCAAAGTATCTTATCAGCTGGAGAGCAGAGCAACGAAAACCTGAATCAAAATAAAAGGTAGCATATATATGGAGAGATATGGCCACATCGGGAGAGTAGCCCGAGAGCGAGCGCCGGTCTGGTGGGTTTCCAAGCGTTGTGAGTTCCAAGCGGCATTTCAAAATCTGCTGTCGCGGCGAGCGGACGCGATAGAGTCGTGCTCTGATAATATGCGAAAAAAAGTGCGATTACATAGAGAGATTGTAAAATTTAATAAAGAATATAACAACAAAAATTAATGAAAAAAAAATAAATAAAAAATTTCAAGAAAATTATATATGTATTTGAAACACTGTTGAGTGCGCGTGATTTTGTTTAGCGATTCAAACCCAACCGTCAGTGCTGTGAAATACAAGGCAGAATTATTGCCCCAAAGCAGAGCCCCCCAAAACCTAACGGCAACTGCAAAAATAGGCGCAAAGTGCACAGAGAATTACGACAAAAAAAAAAGATAAAAATTCTAAAAAAGCAAAAATTTAAAAAAAAATAAAACGTGACGACAGTACCACAGTTCTTGAGCATAATTCACCCCCAAACCACCCACTCTGCAACCTGATGTGTCTCGTGTGTGATTTTTTCGTTTTTCCATTTTCCGTATATAGTGTGTTTTGTATTTAATGTGTGTTTAAACGTCAAACATATTTGACTGTGTGTGGCGAAAATCAATTGTCTTTAGTTCATTTCATTCCGTTCGGTTAACTACTAAACACAAAAATCAGTTTCCAAAAAACCCCCCCAGAAACCACCAACCAAACACACAAAAAGTCAAACAAAAAATAACTAAACAAGATAGTTTTCAAAAACAAGTGCAAAAAACGTGAAATTTTGCAGGTTAAACAGCAAAAAAATCAATTCAGTTCCATATATGTTGGGCAGTGCTGGATTTCCACCAGAATCGGGTTAAAGCATCAAGCCCGCAAGATGACCGAACACCAGGCGGCGGATGAACAGCAGTCCTCCGAAACCGAGTCCCAGTCGCACACCAAGGCCATAACCATGGCCACCCCCGCCAAATCCAATCCGAAGTTCAAGGACACCGAGGAGGGATTCCTCTCCACATCTCCGGACAGCGCCAATGGTGATGCCCAGCAGCACTCCATCCAGAAGGTGGCCGACCCGCCCAATGGCAATCACCCGGAGAAGCTAACAGGGAGCTCACTGAGTGGCAAAGTCACCATAAACGGAAGCGGAGGTCCTATCCTCACCAGCCGGCAGCTCATCTGCCAGGCCTTCCACCAGTGCTCCTGCCCGGAGCAGTGCGTCACCCTGAACAACATTCTAGATTCGTTCAAGGCGCCGCTCTCCGAGGACCAGGCCTGGGCGCTCATCCACCAGTTCATCAGCCTCTACCACAAGGTGGCCGTGGAGGCCCACCACTCGGCCGCTGACTACGACGCCCATCTGCCCACACGCTTCGAGCTCCACTTCCATCGCGATGGCGGAGTGCACTTTTCCGGCAAAGATCGACTGCCTCCAGCCCAGGATCAGGAAGATCAGGAGCGAAACCAGGAGCTTCAGACACAGGATTCTAGTATCCGGGGAACACTGGACGACAGTGCCAGCAGCAGTGCCAGTGGCGATAGCAGCGCCATCATTGAAAGAGGTGAGTTTAGATATTTTTTTGGATAAGGTTTTTTTTAGGGATATCATACATCTATCAAAATATTATAGTTTTTTTTATAATTTGATTAAATTTATGGAAAATTTTAAACTTTATAATGGAGCATAGTATTTCACGTTATCCCTAATCTTTGCAATCTAAAAGTAAATACAAATATATAGTTAATACCTGATTAAACTACAATATAATTTAGTTAGAATGCATTTTTATTGTAACAACTAATTCAAAGCATAGACCTTTATTCTTTTAATATTTTTTAAAATATTTTAAAAATATTAGTCCCCCAACCACACGATTTTTTTAAAACCGTGCCTGGTATTACCCCCTTTATGGTGGTTTATTTAATTGCCCTGACCATGTCAGAGGTCAGTTGGGTGTTCATTTCAGATGCGGAACTGTAACAGTGATGAAAACTGGGCTGTGATTAGCTGGGCCGGAAAACCGGTTGACCGGTTGATGGGATGCCGGACAGGGCTTTGTCTTTTTTTCGGCAAACGCTTTCATTTTCACTTAATAAGCTACAGTTAACTTCTTTCTTTCTTTATATCTTGTTGTCTGGATGGGCTTTTATTTTTTTTTGGTTTTTTTTTTGGACAATCAGACATTTGCCGTGATGTGCGTTTCCGTGTGCCATCCATCTGGCTATTGGCATCGACGCTTTCCAAACAAACAACCCACACAGCACCAACGATGATGACCTCTCCGCATTCAAGTTATGCAGCCAGCTTTGATTGAGGTTTTTCTCCGCCACTTCTACCTTACTATATATATAGATATGTATATATCTTCTGTCTGATTGCGTGCTGGCTTGGGAAAGTGTAAACGGTGACTCCCATGAAGAAGGTCCCATCCCGGTACACAGTCTTCAGTATTTTTCACTTTCTTTTGTGGGTCTTGAGTGCACTGGAAAAAATTGGTTTCATAAATTGACAGATCAAAGAATAGTGAACACACAGCTATATACATTTTGTTTAAAGTGGACTCCCTTCTTCACCGTCTTTTGTAATTGATGAGGGACCTTTTTGTCTTCAGATCTATAGATCTATAGAACGTGTCTGAGCCCCACAGCCAGCTAATTGTTTAATCATTCCACCGACTGGAGGGGGGGTGTCTGTCAAAATACAGGTCGGTAATCTATCGGCTTTTAGATAAGCCACGTTAATTGGAAGATGCGTTCGGTGAATTCGTGTGGGTTGTGATGGCATCATTCTCGGGTCGTCTCCTAGGTGGCCCTTTTTGTGAATCACTGGCTTTGGGCCTGATGCATTAGCTGCATTCTACTGCATTGCTAGACTCTGGAACTCGTCCGCCACATACCTTCACCAGACAAGTCTAGAGGTCTTGCTGTATTTGGCCAGGCCAATTCTGTTAACAGCCAACTTTGTATCAGCAAGGCCAATTAGTTGTTTCTTATAAGCAATTAGCCAGGGACATGTGTATTCTTAAGGGCAAACAGATATGGGGAAGTTGGTTGGAATTACATTTTTTTTATCTCACAGTTCAAGGAACTTTTGATGAAGAGGAATGTGTGATGGGTTATTAGTTATATTAAGGTTCTATAAAATCTATACTTACTATTAGAACTCTTATAGAACTATTAACGTCCATGCCTTACCTTTGTTTGCCTTTTCCATTCAAACTTTCTTCGGGGCAAATGGGTATAACCTTGTAACACCTTAATTGCTGCTAATTTGGGAGACAAAATCAAAGCCATTAGACAGATGAGATATCGAAAGGCTTGCCCCGACAATCCCAGACAGCGAAGAACCGCCAGAAGCGGCAATTAGTCTGCTCAAACAAGTTATTACAAAGTTGTCTAAGAGATGTGCCATCAAACCTTAGCACCTTCTAATGGCTTCTGTGTTTGTGTTTAAAACCGAAAAGAAGGAGGGAAATATTTTCGCAGGTTACATTGTTGTTAGTTGTTTTCGGTGGGGGGGTCTTTGAACTTGCCGCCTTCATTTCTGTTTCGGACTGGAGCATCGGAATCTGAATCTGAATCGCGCTCCATCAGCTTCTGACAACCGCATCGCCTGGCGGAGCGAATCATTGATTGTGTCGGACTCCACCCCATGACTCCCATGACACCTCGGGAGCCTCCAGTACCCCAAGAGCCCCCAGAGCCCCTGCGGGATCCACTCGAGCTCCCGAACCATTGAAAATCAAAGCGTGGGAGATGCAGAATTTGATGGGAAAACGTCGACGGCGCCGTCGGGTCGCCGCGCCCTCTGGCGCCTCGATTAGGCGCGCAGCAAACGGCGACAAGAGTTTCCACGATTTTCCACAGGTTTTCCGCAAAAATTGGCGCTTGATCTAGTCAACACACAAACTCGCCATTACGTTTTTGGCCAGGCTCTCAGAAAATTGGAAAAGTCGATGCCGCAGCAGGTGCAATGGCAATGAAAATTTTCCATTGGAAAACCGCCCACGTACGTAGATGGGCAGAGCTTTTCCCTTCAAGGTCATGGGTCATGCGCAATGCTAAATATTGGTAAATGGAAATTGGAAAGTTGAGAAAATGTTGTGGTAGGTTCTCTCATGCCCCATCTCTTTCGAGTCTTTGGCCAGCTGTTGATTTGAATTATTTTGTTCTTCCGTTTTTTATTTTTTATTAAAACCAGATTTCACTCGAATTAATCAAAGAAATCCCTTTTGGAATCATTGCCTTCAGGCTTTGATAGACTTTGGGTGAGATGATAATTCAGTTTCGTGCCCGTGACTTTCTTGTTTTCACTGCAATGGAAATGACCAGTGAAAAAATAGCTGACAAAACAAACAACTGACTGCTCGACTGGTTTAATGTTTAAATAATTACACTAAAAATTACCCAAACAAAAATGCCCCGAAACTAGAAAACCCAAAACAAAATTATAACGAAACTAAAGCTCAACGAACAAATTGGTTCACTTTTTTTGGAGCTCAGCTTGTTGGCTTAAAAGAAAAGTTACGGCCAGTGGAAGAGTCTTTAATTGGTCAAAAGCCAATTGCGGCTAATACCGGGTTGTCCGATGATGCTTATCTGCTAAAAGCTCTGGGTGGAGCCTAAATGAAGAGTTTCCAAATGGTAGTTGCAATGGGCCGCCTATTTATTAAAGGTCAATTAGCCGGTAGTTTGGAAATGGAGGTGAACTTAAAAAGGTTTTGCATTCTTGTTGCAGTGTGTGAGGAAATTAATGACACCTTCGAGTAGATTTCACAAGTCCCACCAAATTCCGATTTAGTAACATGGCCCACTCGAGGTTTCTTGGAATCTGGGACTATATATTATGTTTGATGCAGATGGGGCAGCCCTACCCGAAATGCATTTATTATAAAAACTGGCTGGGGGACCCCAGCCTAACTGAAACCGAAGCCACGTGTTTTTTTTTTGTCTACCGCGTTGGCTTAAATTTTTTGACACATCATAGACCCAAATTTAATTGCTGGCTATTGTGCTGGCCGCTCCAGTTTTTTTTTTTTTTTTATTTTGGAGGCAAAATTAATATAATAATTTTTGTATAATGACAACAAATGACATAAGCACGACGACCAACTGAACCTGAACCAAATTTCAGCGTTCCACATATAATAGTCCCCAAATGGGGTTTGTTATTTTTTGTGTAAAAATGTATTTATGTTTTGTGTTTTTTACCTTGCTGGGGCCTCTCCTAAACTTGTCCACCTGTGCATTTTGCATTCAAGTTACGAAACCGAAAGCTTTGGATGCATTTTGAAATGGAAATATTGTGTGTCGCCTTCGGCCAGTAACTGAATGCAAGTCCCCGGGTCTTTTGGGTTTTGAAAGTGCGTCTCCCCGGCCCAATAAATCACACGATAATCCAAATTGTTAGCTCCATTGTTGTTTTGGATGACACTTGTCCGAATCCGGAGTGTGTGGGGTCCCATTGAGCTGACATATTCGGGTTTAACCCACCACCGATCCAAATTGTGACCCTGACTCGAATGTTTTCATCATTGCGCTCAACAATATAAATAAATTTTGATGCAATTACGCGCAATCGAAAATGGCAAAGCCTTAAAGACTTCGATAGAGGGCTACTTTTGTGCTCCTATCTTATCGTTTGTAAGAATACGAATCTATATATGCCATGCCGGTTGGCGGGTACTGCATGTGTAAGTACTATATTCCGAATGTGTGTCGAGCGGCAGTCTCGTAAAAAGCAACAGAAGGTTCGTGGCCAACAAGACTTGCTAAAAGGTTTGTTAACCCGTGTTTCTGCCAGTGTCGGTCTATGCCATGGGAACCTGTCTCTCGGATATGCCCAGATAGCCAACTTGCCTTAACTTTGCTTAAAAACAAATGAAAGAAAGTGCGGTGGCATGATAAGGTCTTGTTATTAACTTAGATTAGCATTCTATTTTCGTGAAATTATTTAAGCCTTCAACGGCCTTGTTATGAAGGGTCAGTTTGGAATAATAGCTCTACGAGTGGTTTCTTTTTCAAATTAATGGATTTTCCCTTCGCTTGTTAAGATAAATGGAATGGTTCTTATGATAAGCTCGGGAGTGTGATTTTTACTCAGTGATTTTTCAGTTGGAATATTTTTTTTTAGCGGTTTGGATAGTTATTTCTCTTTTATAGGCAGTTCCGGAGATAAGCAGCCATTTTTTTGATTGCTTTTGGAATTCTATGTATGTTTCTCGAGTGTTTAGTCACCAGTTTTTGTTTAAGCTTTCTTTCATGTAGATTTCGGAACAATTTTAAAAGTTTAGGAAACAAATTTTGCCTAAAAATGACTTGTTAGTGGAAATTATATTTCCTGCTTAGAGTTGGTGTATACTTAATATTTCGGAAGTAAAATATGTAGTTGCCGGAGTTGTATAGGTTCTTTAACTGTGAGTTAATTTCATCTTATTTTAGAAAAAATTATGAAATTCTAACGAATTACTAATTTAATTTAAATTGAATTACACTTATGAAAACTACATATTATTGCATTGTGCGTATACGTAATATTTGAAGAATAAAAAAGATTCCTGGA